CCCCAAAACCCCAAAACCCCAAAACCCCAAAACCCCAAAACCCCAAAACCCCAATAGTTCTCTATTAAATTGAATCTTCAGATTAGATTACATTAACTTGGAAACTCCCCATTCGAAGTTCTTTCCAGTGAAGGGCAACTTTCTTCTGAGATTCTTCATGTGGTTATCTGAGATCTCTTCGTACATCTCTTCCAGGGATACTTGGTAGTTTTCTTCAAGCTTGTTGATGGCCGCAATAATTGATTCGGCAGCATCTCCACTAACAGTTCCTGCTGTTGGAGAATCGAAAGATTTATTGAGCTCGAACTGAATGTTTCCTTGCTCGAAATAATGATTGTGAATATTGATCCTGCCTGTTATTTCAAAGTCAGAAGAACCCAGAGTATGTGTTACAGTCCATCTAGACAGCCATTCACCTCCCCAGAAGTTCTTATGGTTAAGATTATGACAAGATATTTCGATATGAGCTGTGATCTGGTCTGTTCCTTCCACAGAGACAGTGCCCAAAGTGGTAAGTTCCTTATAGTGGCCAGCAATATACTTATCAAGGGACTCTACTAATTGCTCTTTAAACCCTTGGACAGCTTCATCATGATGCTTTTCAGCATCATTGACTACCTTGACCTCTCCTGAGTTTACATTAAGGGTGAATTTAATATTTCTTGCTTCATCAACATAAGTAAACTCAAATGGATCAGTCTCTGCTGGAGGTTGCTCTCCTTCACCTTCAGCCTCAGGCTCTGGCTCCTTCGTGACTTCAGTCTCTCTTCTTCCCTTTTCTGTAACTACTACCTTTGTTCCATCTGGAAGGGTTTGATGGTTAAGGTGTCTTTCTTGGTATTCCCTCAGGGCTTGGATGATTTCTGGTTGCTGGAGGAAATCTTTATTCCCAACGATGGTGCCAATATCATCAATGATATATTCAAGCTCTCCAACAGTTGCTTCTTGGATGAAGTATTGCAGTGCCTTGGTCTTACTATCGCTCATATTTATTTCTCAAATCTAATAATAGAATTTGGGGTTTTGGGGTTTTGGGGTTTTGGGGTTTTGGGG